CAAAATCAGCAAGGGCTCAAATACTTATTTCCCCCACTGTATTTGTTTTGTTTTTTTAAATATCCGCCTACCGGAGAACCCGGGCGGCCATCTTTATGTGGTCATTTTCCCTAAAACCCTCTGTTTGCTCATAGGACCGACAACGCTGTGAAGAACCACTGGAATTCAACCATCAAACGTAAGCTGGAGATGGGCTTCTACGCGGGAGAAGTGTTCGGGCCCAACGAGCTGGAGGAGCTGGCCGCCCGGGTGGGTGCAGACGATCCCGGGTGTTTTCTTTAAAGGAGACTTATCATACCCTATTTCAACAAGTTAAGCTAGTTCCCTGGTGTCCTAATGCAGTGTTTTTCAACCTTTTTTGAGCGAAGATACAGTTTTTCATTGAAAAAATCTCGAGGCACATCACCAACCAAAAATGTTAAACAAATCTGTAGCCGCCTATAGTAACACTATAGTTATTCTTATTTTATTCTTATCTTATCTTAAGTGTCTTGAATAGGAATCAAATAAACACAAAAATGTATTTTTATCATATTTTATATTTCTTCTTTCAAATTGCAATTAACATGTCCACTTCAATATACAAAATTATTTACAAAATCTAGTCATAAGGAATTATTACATGATTACGCCACCAGTCACTAGAACAGCACAGACACTCAGAAATGGCATATTATTTGCAGAAAATTAATTCCTTATCAAAAAATCTTTTTAGACCAATTAGGTGAAATAGGATGATTTTCTACGGCACACTAGTGTACCGAGGACCAGGGGTTGACAAACACTGATCTAATGTAATGTCTGTGACAAGCTTTGGCCCAAATCCGTTAAAGGATGAAGGATTGGGATCTGACTCAAGCTGGTAAACAAAAGCCCCATATGTTCAATTGATTGATTGAACACTAGCTTATATGTCATAGTATTTTTTATTTATTTTTTAAATAATTATATTTATTGGTTTTTAGCGTTTTGACAAACAAATACAATACAAGACAAGAACAAGAGAACAATCCAGCTCTTAAAGTTACATACCTATAAACGAGCATATGCGTACACACACACAATATGTCATTGTATTTTTTAATTTACCTTGATATGCGTCTTCAGATTAGATGGGGAATTTCTGAAGGCCGTTATTTCACAATCTTTCTGGAGGCATTTCTTTATCGGCTATGCTTGATGGCTCAAATTCGGCCAATGAGGAGCCAGCTTCCCAAACCCTGCCAGAGCTATCTGTCATTACGTTTACATTTCAGTAACGAGTAACGATTCAGCCCGGGAAAGTATTAAATTAATCAAAAATATGTAGTGGAGTAAAAGTTAAAGTAGGGAAACATATATAATCCAATAGAGTACAGATACTGCATTTTGGTACTTAAAGGAGACATATTATACCCTATTTCAACAAGTTAAGCTAGTTCCCTGGTGTCCTAATGTAATGTCTGTGACAAGCTTTGGTCAGAATCCCATCAGGATGAAGCCCAATAGCAGTTCAGTCCCCCTGCCTAACCCTAACCCTAACCCTAACCCTAACCCAAAACAGCCCCGTTCAGAGCGCTCGCTTTGGAGTGCCTGTCTCTTTAAATGCAAATGAGACACAGGCAATCCGCCCACTTCTTCAGGGAGGTGTGCCCACGTCGACACGCTAACGCTAGCGTGCTAACGCTACCATGCTAACGCTACCATGCTAACGTTCACGCTACCAGGACGTCTCCACAGATAGGGGAGTGAGCTGAGGGGGGGGGCAACA